TTTGTGAAATTATAGCCTCAAAATTGGGAAAAAATGACAAAGGCTAATTTCTAATAGGCCAAGGGGTATTTCATCATTTGTTGTCACCTGCATGGCATGCTTGCAATCAAAGTTCACGATGTTACTTTGGGTGTCAAGCAAGACAAGTTCACAAAAGTTAAGAGGATGTTTTGGGGGAGCCTTTTTTTGGTCAAAATAGTTTTTCAATTAGCTTTATCATATCTATTGTTAGGTTTCTTTTTTATGAGCCTACGGTCTAATCTTATTTTGATGATTTACAAATAATCTCTAACATCGTTTGTCCAGTGTTTGTATTTGTTTATTAGGTATTCTAGACAAACATCGATGTCGGATGTTGGTTGGAATTGCACATTCACGATCACATTCAAAGGAGGTTGAAAGGAATACCAAAATGAAGCCAATACATTCAAGTTAAAATTCATATCGCTTCATCCCCGCAAACCAAGACGAGCAAATTGAAGATTTCCATCTTGGGTATATTACTTTAGGCAATTTACTTTGTGTGCTTATACTTAAAGCTCAAACTATTCACACACATTGCTTTCCGTTTTTTTTGCTTTCAATTTTAGCCACATAAATATGAAACAAATGAATACAATTTGTATACACTCATATTCGTTTCATGTTTATATGTGCTTGATATGATTTCATTGAGATCAAGATTTGAAATCATGTTTATTGTTTTGAAAGATTGCAAAATATGTGTATTTTTAATAAAACATTGTGTTATTAATTTATGGACTAAATAATCTTAGTTTACATCTTTTATGTAGTCTCTAAATCCATACAAGAGTTTTCAAAATTTTGTTTAAGTCAAAATATCAAAAACAAGTGTATTGACATTTTGTATTTTGACCTAATTTGTAAAATGATGAGTTTTTACAATTGGGAAGTGCAATTTAAAAAATTCTTTTTGTAGCATGTTTATTTTTATGTTTATAGATATTTCTCAAAGTTTTACATTTTTTAGAATTTGTTTGATATTTTTAAATAAGGTTTAAAGTTGATGTTTACTGTTCATATCAGGTCCTGTGCACGTTTTAGGTCGACTTACTACAATACCAAGTCGACTTATAAAGTGTTGCATAGATGGTGTTTTTTTCTGTGCTGAGTCGACTCATAATATAACAAGTCGATTTATACTATATAAGTCGACTCATATAGTATAAGTCGACTCATTCATGTCATAAGTTAACTTACTATAGAGTCATTGCACAGTAACATATAATTTCCAGATTCTTGTTGTTTTGTGTTTTTTGTTGATTTTTGCTGGTTTCTTGAGCTTAGTTTTTCCACCCTATATATACCCTTTTACCATAAACATTCTAAATATATACTCAAGAAAAGTTTTAAATAAGTTTACGAAGGTTTTAAGGGTGTTTAAGTTTGCATTTCAAGTCTAGTACAAGATCAACCTTCATCCGCAACCAAGATGAGCTACATTGAAGACCTATAGCTTGGGTACATTAGTTGAAGAGGAGATTATTCATTCTTGTTTGGGCTTCAATTTCTCATCTCCATCACTCTTGTTGCAGAGAAGCTTTTGCTAACTCAATTCTAGCTTTATATATTTGTTTGTTGTTTATCAATTTCACTAAGCTAGATTTTATATTGAGTTTGCATTTCATTTTTCTCATTATTTATACACACATCCTTTGAGCTTTAGTATTATCACATTAAGTATAATTTGGGTTATGGTGAGTGTATCATTGAGAGTCAGTTTAGTTTGTGTTCTCATCTTGTTTAGAGAACAAACACTTTGTATTTGTGCTTTCATTGTGAGATCACATTGTAATACACATGTACACCGAGAGGAGCGTGTGGTGAGAGACGGGATCGATTCCAAGATGAGTGGCGTCGGTAGTAAAGCCTAGGGAGAGGTTGTAAATCCGAGCACTTGAGGAAGTCAACACGGGCCAGGCCAACACTTAGATGGTGTATTGTGTGAGTTGTGAAAGTTTTCAGTGAGCTAGAAAACCGATTGTGTGACTTGTAAACGTTTCCAGTGAACGTTAAAAACCGGTTGTGATAGTGGAGATTCTCCTCGAGAGTGAGGAGCAGAGACGTAGGTCGAGAGTGACCAAACTCCGTGATCATATTGTGTGTTTGAGTTTGCCTTGGCGTATTATTTGTGATCATTACTTATTGCATTCTATATCGCCATTGTCTCTTGTTTATATCGCCCTTAGTTTAATAGCATATCATTGCTCATATATCTTGTTGTATATCATAATTGCTAGGATATTGTTAATAAGTTTTAATTTGACATTAATATTGGATTAGATTAACATATAACCTATTCACCCCCTCTAGGGTAATTTCAAGCAATACGAAAGTGACTCTTAATCCCTATTAAGTTTGGGGTGACTTATTTACTCCCCTCATTTCTAGCACACACTCAAAACGTCACTATCTTTTAATGATGAAATAACCAAAATGCACTTTGTGAAATTATAGCCTCAAAATTGGAAAAAATGACAAAGGCTAATTTCTAATAAGCCAAGGGGTATTTCATCATTTGTTGTCACCTGCATGGCATGCCAACAATCAAAGTTCACGATGTTACTTTGGGTGTCAAGCAAGACAAGTTCAGAAAAGTTAAGAGGATGTTTTGGGGAAGCTGTTTTTTTGGTCTAAATAGTTTTTCAATTAGTTTTATCATATCTATCTGTTTTAGTAAAATACAAAATAACTTAGCTTATTAGCCTCATTTTTTAAAGTTGATATACCTTAACGTTTAAGCAAACTGACTTATGAGCGCACGTAAATAAGATTTGATCAATCAAATTACTATTCAACACAAATAAAATTTTATATAAATTTAATAATAAAAGCCGAAAAGTCAATCAAAAGCACATAGCTTAAAAAGCTTCTAAAAATAAGTCTCAACGAACACCTACGGGCCTTTTTAAATTAAGGTTAATGTGAGGTAAATAAAGTTAGGAGGTACATTAACCTTATTTAAATTTTACTCTTGTATCAAAATGGGATCCGAAGGGGTGCAATAACATCTTATGTTATTTATGTAAATTTACATATATTTCTTAGGGGTGCAATAACATTTTATGTTATTTATGTAAATTTACATATATTTCTTACTTTCTTTTTATTTTAATAAACTTTCTAAACGGGGTGAAATAAGTTTTCTTTGTTCCCTAACTAAATTTTCAATGAAAATTTGTTGGATTCATTGACTTTCATTAAGTTAATCTATACCACGTTCACTTCACCTCAACAGGGTCGTTCTAAGGGGGGTTAGTCACATTGAACTTTTTAAGTAAAACTGGGATAATTGCTAAAGTGAGATAATTTTTTGACACTGGGATAATTTAGTGGAACAATGATGGATAATTCTTGAAGTGGGATAATTTGATAGGATAATTTAGTGGGATAATGGTGGATAATTTTATGAAGTGTGATAATTTGGTAGGATAATTTGGTGGAGTAATGGTGGGTATAAATTACTATTGTTAATAATTGTATATTAAAAATAATATAATATTGATAAGCAAATTCTAGTGATAACATTAAAATATAATGCAATAAAACATCACTATTCATCTCAAATAATAAAATAATTTACAAATAAATAAAAATCTAAATCCCTAGAGTGACTCGACTTCCATCATCCCACATGGCTTCTATCATCCCACATGGTATCTGCCATAGAATTTCTCCAAACTCCTACAACTGCTCGTTGAGTCTGTAACTCGTCTTCTTTATCGGAGTCATCGTCTGCATCAGGAACATTTCGTGGAGCTTCTAGCGGAGGATCATAAATGTCGAAGTTCAAATCTCATAACATCATAAAGAAAGAAAAATAAGCATTTTTTAGCCATTAACCCTTTGGACCAATCTCATCATGATCGCTGAAACCAAATCAGCAAATAAATAAAATGTACACAGGAATCATCCATGGCCGCTAAACAGATGATCGACAGATGAACTATAAATATCCCAATCAATTTACTGAGCCGATTTAATAATAATAGATATCACCATTAATTTAAACGTCAAAAAGCTATCAATAAAGTAATACATCTTGAAGATAATAATAAAAGATCTAATCATCACAAAAACAAAGTAAAGACAGAAAATTGAACGGATGATTGACTTCATGACAGAGAAATTTTAACCAAGAGGGAGGGAGGCGACGTTTCACTTTTTTTTCCCAATTGTATTCTTTCCAATGTGTGGGATAATTTGAGAGAGGAGAACTTATAGTTATATATATAGGTAGTATAATTTGTGGGATAATTAGGACCAATTATCCCAATTCTAATTCTAGTAGAATTCTACTTGACTAACGCACCAAAAAAATAATACAGTTCTAGTTCTACCTGACTAACACTATAAAAAAATATCCTATTTCCTAGTTCTATGTGACTAACACCTTAAAAATTTATCCCACAAATTATCCCAATTCCAATTTTAAGTTCTAGATGACTAACCCCCTCCAAAGTGAAATACAAAAAAGGGTCAGAGGGTTGATTCGCAAAACTCCTCGAGGTTAAGGGATTAAGCGAAACTCACCATGTCACAAATAGGACAAGCTGCGATAAAAGCCCGCCTCCAGTTGCTAATCGCTAGGGTTTTTGCTTTCCCCTTCTGAAGTCCGCCCGAAACTTGAGAAATCGCGCGGGAGCAGCGGAGCAGCCATGGCGACCACACAGAGTTCAGAGGATTATGACCCAACCCATCGTACGATCATCTCTCCTCCTCCTTCTCGCGCATCCTATTATTTTCTTTCTTTTCATCTTTATTAGTCTCAAAAGTTTCAATTTTTTTCGCCTCTTTTTTTGGTTTGCTCGTGAATTGGCGGTTCCGATGTTCAGTTTCCAGAATCTCATCTCAGGTTTCTTCAAAGAGTCGTAAGCCTCTTTCGACCGCAGCTTTGTTTTCTCCCCTCCCCCCCCCCCCCCCAGCCCACCCCCCCCTCTATTTACCTATCTAGGGGTTTCTCCTCTTTTCTAATGTCAAGTTACTCGATTGATGCAGAAAGCTCGCATCCAGATCTGGCTCTTCGAGCAGAAGGATCTGAGGATCGAAGGACGCATTATTGTGAGTTTTTCTTTTAAGAGTTTGGGATGGAATATTTTATAAATTTTGACTTGAACACTATCTATTTATTATTTTTAGCATGAGTGAGTTGAAGCTCTGATTTTTTTCCCCTTCTCATTTTGCTCTTCTTTACTTAAATCAGAAAACGGGTTTGTAGGTGATTTATTTTGCATATTAGGTTGTGGAATGAATAGGATGGTTATCTCACCGAGTTACTAGACAAATCTTACAGCTCCTGTGCTATATAATTTGACCGCGTTAAGGGGATAAAAACAAACTAAACTTTGGGGTTTCTAACAGTAAGTTTGAAAATCTAATTTGACTCATCTCACTAGGAGTGGGAGCCTAATTATACGGCAAGGGAAAGGCAACTGTACAAAAACGTCTGCTAGCTTCCAAGGTCTTACGGAAGGATGATGATATTATGTAGCTAGCATTTTTGAAGCTGAGATCAGGCTACTGTTGTTTTATAATTATACTTATGTTATATGATCTAGAATCTTACACACGTTAAAATGCTCAGCCTAACATTATTATAGTAGTTTGAAGTTGCTCTAGATTGATACAGCTTGTAGTTGGATATGCAGGATGATAAGCTTCATGTCACTACATGATCTGCTATAATGTTTTAGCAAATGATGGGCGCTTCTAGGTGCCATACCTAGCACCTGGCGTCTAGCACCGCCTAAGCATTTTTAGACAATTTATTTTTTAAAGATTCTGCTTGATATATGTAAAGCAATTCATAAACATGTAGAAAAGTTAGAATGAGAAAGCCAGAGAAAATTAGAAAGAGAAGGAGAAAGAGAAAGAAAGGAAGAAATAAAGTGAGTGGAGCAAGCTTATAAATATCAAGGTAAGCTAGTACATATTGTTTTATAAACAAAACTAGGGCAAAAATATAGCAAAAACAAAATTTCTTCTTGAAAGTCTCTACAATGGTTGGAGGTGTTTTAGCAATGGCCCAGACTGTGGGCAATATCTGTGGTGATAGATCGACAAAGAAGAGAGTCGAGACTTGGGAGATGCAAATAGTGCAAAAGAGCAATTTTCCCAAATAAAATCACTCACCTCTTTTTAGTCAATTGGATTTAGAATTCAGGATCCACTCTATTTTTGTTTCATACATTGATGTACTTGAGTGAAGTTGCATAGCATTATTTTTATGCGCGTGACACACTTAAGTTGCATGCTTCTGCTTAGGTGCTCCAAAGCAACCTGGACACCACACCCGCCTAGGTGGGCGCCTAGGCACATAATGAAAATGCTTTTTGAAAAGAATGGTAAATCTATATTTGTACGTGCCATATGACTCGTACACTTTTCATGTATAAAAAACAGGACACCATTGTATTTTGAGAATGAAAATGTCTAGAAATAATCTGTAGTGGATCTATAATGATAGAATAAAAATGGAAGAGTTATGAAGTGTTCTATTACTCTCATAGAGTAAGTCGCATGGAAATGGTTACATACATATATTGAAATTAAATTACATGAGTTTATAATTTTTTTCTCAATTCATGTGTTATTAGAATCAAAATTCCTATCACATTTTAAAGTTTTTTAATTATGTGATTATTATAAATTAGAAATTGTTCATTTTTAAATTAAATACTCCAACAACCCTAGAAAATCGTAGTTTTGAACTTGTGTATGGGCTGAAACAATCCCGGCCTGTGTCTAATGAGTTTCAAGAAATGGATGTGAAGTGTCAGATAGACGTCCAAGAAGTGTATGGGAAATGTTTTAATTAACACATATCATATATTTGAGTACTTGTCTAAATAAATGTTTGCATATGTCCAATGAGTGTCCATGAAGTTTCGGTACAAGAACATGTCGGGTATGTGTCTGGTATGGGTACGGCTTCATGATAGAAGTACCCGGGTAAAATTAGTCATAGACATCAAGCATGTGTCGTTTGTTTATGATATATGTAAATCAGTGGTGTTAAACAATGCCTTATCTCAAAATATGGATATGTCTCTCAATATGGATATGCGTACACACGTATGCATATAGATATAGACATGGACTTAAATATGTATATCTATGCACATGTATATACATACATGCATATGCCATTGGACTATGAACCCTTCACTAATTATAGGAATTTAGAATATTTTATCTTCTATTCTCCATTAGGAGGTAAGACCGCAAAAGTGGAGTGATTGTAAGGGAATGTGGCAATAGTGGACTATTAGTGGATTAGTGATGAGGCAATAAGTTTATCTATGTACATTTAATAACACCATGCTGAAAACTTCAAAATATTACAAATAACTCCTTAAAATTTAACAAATTCCAACTTGGGGAAATAATACCCCCCCCCCCCCCAAATAAATAAATAAATAAATAAATAAAATAAAATAAAATAAAATAAAATAAAAAACCAGAAAAAAGGGGATAAAGATAACCCCCATCACACACACGCGCGCGCGCGCGCACACACACAAAGAAAAAAAAACCCAGACATCTCCCACAAAGTGAGCCCCCATGTCATCATGTTCATTTAACAATATCTTTCTCTTGTATATGTATGATTTGTTAGATTTTTAAAGACAAGATTTGGTCTCCTTTTTATATCTTTGGTGTTCCACTTTTAAAAACTTTCTAGTTTTTGTAAGATTGATCTAACTGTTTTGGCAAGTAACTAGTTGTGGGTGTTTATTATGAGGGTGACTACAGAAGTGAAGAGTTGTAAGCACAAATGTGAGCCAACTTGAGGTAGCTGTATGCCATGTATAAACCATGTCTGCACCATCATTTTGTATGAGTATGCCAACTGAAAAATCCATGGTTTTACCTGGTGCATCTGCACGCACTGTTTGAGCTGGGTGATATCACATTCCATGTTTCACCTCCTCTTATCTTGTGCTATAGACCCCGGTCATTTTTGTTTTGAAGAAAATCTCAGAGACGTAACCATAGAATTAAGTTGGAGCATAAGCGTCTGGCCGAGAACTTCACGAATCCATCGTATGCCACCGTTATCTCCTTTATGCCTAGGGTTGCATGACGGTTGCTTTTTCTTCTATCTCATTCATTCTCCATTGTTGGCTATGATTGCCTTCCAATTCTGATTTATTCCTTAGATATATCTCCTGCATCAAGTTAATAGCTAAATGAATGCCAATTTTATTTTACTTCATGTGCATTCGAATACCCATAACTAGTGTTTTGCTTTGCATTCTTTGAATGCTTAAAAAAATCTTGCATAATGAGTACAGTGGTACCGGAGTTTTTAAAGACATGTTTCCCTCACTCTGTCAAGATAAAAACCCCAAGCACGCTTTCTCTCTTCCTACCTCATGTTAACATCAATTAGATTTTACTTCATGCACAGCTGCACCCTAGCCAATGTTTTGGTTGACCTTCTTTAAGAACTATTAGAGATGTAAATGGATTTCCAAAATGTCTGAATCCATTTTGTTTCCGCATTCTTTTAACAGAACATGAATAGCAATAATTAATCTCTGGATCATCTGTACACACTCTGTTTAGTATCTGTTTTGATATCCGTGCCTAATTAAAACACAACATTCACATATTTTTAGACTGCCATACATAAGAACATAATGTATAGCTAGTTGTCTCCTGTGCATCACACAAGACCATTGTTATAGTATTATTGCATATATGTTAGTGTTACCATACATAATAACAAAAAATCTTGCATAACTAGAACTAGGGCAGTGGTACCTTAGTTTTTAAAGACAGGCTACCTCCCCATGTCAAGATAAAAACCCCAGGCACTCATTCTCTCTCTCTACCTAATGTTAACATCAATTTCATTTTACTTTTGTACCCTAGCCAATGTTTCGGTTAACCTTTTTTTAGGAACTATTATAGATGTAAATATATTTCCAAAATGTCTGAATCCATTCTGTTACCCCATTCTTTTAAGAGAACATGAATAGCAATAATTGATCTCTGGATCATCTGTATCCACTGTATTTAGTATCTATTTTAATGCATGTGCCTAATTAAAACACATTGTTTACATATTTTAAGACTACCATACATAACAACATAATGTATAACTTGTCGTTACCCGTACGATGCATGAGACTTATTGTTATAATATTGTTGCACATAATAGTGTTATCATGGCACAAGACACAATGCAGGACGTAAATTCCTTTTACGTGCACTATGTGCAATGAGATGCACACGCCTCACTGAAGTAAGGTGCCCACCGCAAACAATATTTAGGATAGACTACAACCACATGGGGTCAAACTATGACCATGAACAACTGACTACCATATCATGAATAAGCATCAAATGTTATGAGCATCAACAACAAACTATGAAAAAGAAAATTGCCTTCATCCTCAAAACAGTACTAGTCAAAGTCCAAGCAGAAAATAGAGTAAATACAGAGTATTACTTGTATGAATCAAGAAATTAAATAAGAAGAAACCACAAGCAGATACCAAAAGAACTCAGTCGATTCTAAAGCAAATACAAGTTGCAAGAGAACTTCTGAAGTAGGAATCAACCTAAGTTCACATTATGAAAGAAGAGTAACTCAAAAAACAATATTCAATTACAATTCAAACAAATATATAACCGAGATAGATTAACCAACAAAAAAAGTAACCTAAACAATATAGAACAAGTATCGAGCAAGAAACAAGTCTTGAAAAAAAAGAGAAAAAAATCTATAAAAGGAGAAAAATATCTGAAATGACTTACAGCTTGCCACAGGTTGCCGCTCGCACCTGTTTTCCTTTAGATCAACTCTCACTGGTTGATCTCTGTGGAGAGTCGTGTGAGACGCGACATAGACAACTACAAGAGAGAAAGCATAGAGAATGAATTCAGGGCTCATCTGTTGCCTTATCTGAGTTGGGTAACTTTATAAATGGGTTAAAGGTTAGTGGTACCGGGTTTTAGACGGGATTTAAAAAGGTCACTCATCTAATACTATTATAAAAGTGTGTTGCCATGTTAAAACATTTCTTCCGAAAATACCATTCAAGTCATGCTAAAACACATACATGCATACATAAAAACACATATATGAATGCATAAACCATACCCCTTCAAATCTTTCTCATAACCACTAATTAAATTATTAAATTAAATGTAATAAATGCACCTCCAATTTTCATTCACTACCAGTAGAAAAATTAATTCAATTAAACTCATTCTCTATTATTATATAATAATAACTCAATATAATAATATTATGTAGTATTATTAATACTATGTAACAACATAGCCTACTATGCAATAGCTTCAAATTCTTATCGTAACTGCCAATTAAATATCAACCATTCATATCCCTAACCTCTCTAGGATCATTTCCTATATAATATCCGATGATTATACAACTCAATTCACATTCCCAATCAAACAATCAAGCTCCAACCTCTCAAAGTGTAATCTCTTACTCTCTCTCCCTCTCAATCGCTCTCATACTCCTTCGAACTCCATCAACAACATCCTCCACCTCCTGACCTTCGCAACTAGCCACCGCAGTCCTAGCTAATTTCACTGTTTGCTCTGCTGAACAGTAAAGAGAGGAAATAAAGAAAGATAAATGTGTCTGTTTACTTTCATTTCCATCAATCTAGAATTGGTTTGTGTAATTTCAAAGGTGGATCCAGACATTATGATGGTCTGATATGTTTGATTTTATGATGAGCTTCAAGTTTATGTAACTTGATGTAGTAGAGAGAAATTGTGATATTTTCTTCGTGATTTTGTTAGGGAGATCTAGTATTATGTAATAGTGTGACTAGAAATGTAAAATATTATTGTGAGAGTGAGTTGTATACTTTTTAGTTATGCATAAATAACTATGCACTTCATGTTCATTTGGTGAGTGAAAATTACTATTCATTGACCAAATAACTTGGTTGATGCTATGTTTCATAGAGCTTCAGGTGGAAAGGAAATAATTACTCAAAAAATGTCATTATCCTAATTCATTGTTACACATTTAAATTTTAATAACTACAATAAAAAACTTATTTAAATTATTTATAAATCTAATTAGTAAGTTTATAAATTATTTTAACATGGAAACACACTTTTATAATAGTATTAGATACATATGTATATAATAATCTAAACAACTCACTGTCATTATGTGATTCATTTATTTTTTTAGAAATGAAAGACCCTTCCATCCATTAATTTTTAAAAAAGTAGGATAATAGTTTAAGAAAGCAACAAATGAAGCTTAATAATAGAAACCTAATGTTACCAAGGTAAAGATATTATAGAGTACATTTGTTAATATAATTATAATTTAGTGCATTGTAAATATTCAAGTTCGTCTACGTGCAACGCACGTACACTATACTAGTTATCTTAAAAGAGGCTTCATCTCTTTAGTGCCTCAAAAGAGGCATGAGGAGATCAAAAGGTGGGGTCAAAATGAAAACCCATCATTTTTCCTTCACAGGAATTTTAAAAATTACAAAGAACAAATGTCATTGTGTAGCTCTCTCCAAGTTAAAAGGTTGGATTCAGAGGGGAAGAGAGAAATAAAGAGAAACTACATGTTTAAATGTTTAATAAAAATTAGTTATTATTTACTAATTATAGGAAGAGAAAGAGCCAAAGCTCTAATAAGATGTCAAAGTGTGCAACTTGGCTTTTGTTTAGTATATAGTATATTCAAATTAAATGCTGCTGAAGTTATAAATTGGTAACTATGTTGTTTGAATTTAGTGTTGAAAGTATAAAGTTTCATGAGCTTATATAGAACTCCTTGTTTTTTTTAAGTATAAAGTTTTAAGGAGCTTATATACATCTCTTTGTTCTACACTTCTATCTTATTGCACGTCCTTCTATTGTATTGATACTATAAGTTGTTCAGTTGTGATTATATAGCATACGGGGAAGCACTATATGTTAGAGTAGAAAATGTAGTATGTGTATTTCGATGTCAAATATCTTTGTGATCCATATTATCTGAGCACAGATAATTGTACATATGCCTGACCTTTTCCTTCTCTCAATTCCTTTTGAAAACCCATTTATTTTTAGGGCTTTGACGAGTACATGAATTTGGTCCTTGATGATGCTGAGGAACTTAACGTCAAAAAGAACACCAAGAAGCCATTGGGTGACTATTACCAATTCCCTTTTTCATTTATTCTTTTGCATTCAAATTTATATTTCAAATATACTGATGAGATGTTTCTTTCTATTTTCATAGGGAGGATTCTCTTGAAAGGGGACAACATAACCTTGATGATGAACACGTAAGTATAGCATGGAAAAGTTTTAATATATGATAGTTATTTTCTTCACCTCCATATGATTCTACATTTCTTACCTCTCGCAATTCTATTTTTGTAGGGGAAAATGATGACCGAGGATTAAAGGATGCTGTTGTTTGTCTGTAGCAGTATTCTATTTTCAAGATTCATGGAGGTCTCAATTTGTAGCTGTCTTTATGTCGTATGATACTGATTCCCCGTGAATATGACGCCTGTCATGTTGGCTATGAAATGAATTTCGGCGCTAGAACAAAGTTAGGGCATCACTAAGAACCTTTCTGTATCAACTCTTAATGCAAATCTCCATCAAGAAGATCTCTCAATTAATCCGTGATCTGTGGATGATCAAATTGTGTTTTAAAAAACAATGCTTAGCACACACTCCCTCTTTTTGGTTGTGGAGTATATTTGCATCAACTTGTTTTTCACTTTATATTCCCCATGTCTTTTGGGAAATAGGAAGGGTTTGTTGCAGAGAGATGCCTTGTTCCGCTAGATTATGCATAGCAAGTATTATGACTTTTGAAATATTCTATCCTATGCCCTGTCATTTGAGAATGTGAATGGCTTTTTATTTGGTAGAATAAAGCTTCGACATGTGTCGGTGGCTAAGTTTGCGCTCATGACGCCGAAGCCAAGGTTACTCTTTACTTCTTTGGAGGGGATTTTGGTATCTAGTTCTTGCCCTAAAGGTTAATTTGGTGAGTATGCGCTGGAATATTATTGTTACTGTTCTTTGCGCTGGAATATTATTGTTACTGTTCTCCCCCCTGTATCATACGATTCCGACAATTCTTGGTTATTTAACACACAGATAATTGTTGTTGGCCCTGATTTCGCTTGGGTATGCCACTGAGGTGACCTACAATAATGGACAAACCATATTTTAGGGTGTGTTTGGTAATCAATTAAAACTGGGTTAGGATCCTAACCCAGTTTTGAATGGTTTCTTGTTAGGCAAAGAACATGGACAGAACTAATCTTGTTTTCATAGGCTAGAATTTGACTACTGAATCAGTTCTATTTTGGACTACCCATCGTCTAGTCCAAAATAGAATGATTTAAGATAAATATGGGTTAGGATTGGTCTGATCCAATTTTAGGTGTTTCGACAAACACACCCTTAGTCTCCAACTCCCGGAGAGTTTAGACGTCACTTTTTGTATATAATTGCTGTGGCTCTTCCGTCTCTTTCAGAACAACAAAAGAAAGTTTTATTTTTTGAATTTCTGATCCTTAATCCTAAAATCACATGTTTCTTCAACTTCAATTACTCTATTTTTATGACTAGAGGAAAACCATAGTTAAAATACTTTGCTATGACGTCATGCATGGTAATTAGATAGCTTTTCTGTTGCAAACTTTCATTCTTGATAGGAGATCTTTTTTAAAAAGACTATTTTTAAAAAGATATTAGCAAATTTAAACATTTCTGAAAATATTTAGCAAAGCCAATCTCTTTTTGGCCAGCTGGGCAAAGAGAGGTTGACTTTGCAAAATATCAATTTAAAAATATGGTAGTCATGTGTAATTTGTGCTAAAATGATTAATGTTTAACTAACATGAACTAATTATACGGGACTACTGTGTATTTTAAAGTAGGTATTTTGCAAAATCGACATCTTTATGGCTAGCCGGCTAAAAAAAAAATCAATTTTCCTAATATTTAAACTTAAAGGATCGGTTTTGCTAATTATTTTTTTAAAATGACTTTTTCAAAAAATCCTCCTTCTTGACAAGAATATAAGAAAATTTCAATTTGAGATGCAACCTTTTCAGAATTAGCTTGTAACAAGTCCACCATCGAATTCTGAGACATGTTGCAGTCTTAACCCGCATTAGATTTCTCCTAATTCACTGGAGAAAGGAACAAGGGCATCTGAGTACGTACAACCGTATATATTATAAGTAGTTGAATTATGTGCTGTCGTCATCTCCAATTAATTGTTCAGGGTCGCTAGAGAAAGTTATGCTGAATACGTTAATTCTCTGAGCTCTCTCTCGCCATGGAGCCAAGTTGCGTGAAGAGATGGTGACTCACTAGTCACTGTATTGCTCCAATGCATGTGTGCACGCAATTGGATCGATGCGACGCGCACGAATATGAGTCAGCATCCATCAAGGGAACATCCTTCTTTTCTTTTTTAAACACCATCTAATGGTGTCGTGATATTATTGAGTTACTTTATGAGAAATATTAAATTTAAATATTGAGATGGTGGATTGATTTTCAGTTTTTAGTTTCCAATTTTGAATGCTCTATATATGATAGGTGAAAACATACGACGTGCAGGAGCTGAAATATGATGTGATTGGCGTACAGGATGCGCTCAATGCTCAGAATTTGGAAGAGACCATCATGGTCCACGAGAGGCCACCTAAATATGATGAGGCGGTATGAGAGAAAATAAATAGGAACGCTTGTGGGGTGATCAGGTCCTGTTTGGAACAGGAGCTGAAATATGATGTGATTGGCGTAACGTCTGCAATGAAGATGTGGGAAATTCTCAACAACAAGTATCTCACAAAGAGTGTTGAGAACATGTTGCACTTGCTGCGAAGACTCTTCAGATTTCAGATGTCCAGAGGCACCTCGCTAGCGGCTCATGTGAACAACTACACTAAGTTGTTGTCGGACTTGGCGAATGTTGATGAGAAGATATCGGATGAGTACAAGGCGATTATTTTGTTGGGCTCCTTACCGGATGAGGAGTATGATACCTTCGTGCTCACTTTGTTGAACGGGAGATCTTCTATCAGCTATAGTGAAGTGACTAACGCTTTAACCAATTATGATTTAGGAGGAAGGATAAGGAGACTTCCCGTGCTAGCACTTCAGGCGAGGCCTTGTCGACGAGAGGCAGAAGCCCATATCCGAAAGGTGGTAACAGAGGGAGGTCAAAGTCTAGAGGCCGCCACCAATTAACAAAGAACCAATGTGCATTCTGCAAGGAGCAGGGACATTGGAAGAAAGACTGCCCGAAGCTCAAGGAGAAGGAGAATGGTAAGCAAAAGGGCCCGAAGGCCAATGAGGTGAACATTGCGAAAGGCGATGATTCCGATGATTCGTGCTTTTCTCTACTGATTACTCCGGAGGTGAACCATGTGGATGCATCAGATTGGATGCTTGATTCCGACGCTACTTTTCATGTAACCCCTAGGCGAGACTGGTTTGCATCTTTTGAGAAAGTCGATGGAGGTGTTGTTGTCATGGGAAATGATCAATCCTGTGGCGTTTGTGGGATAGGTACCGTACGGATTAGGATGCATGATGGAGTAGTCCGTGAGTTGAAGGAGGTGAGATTTGTTCCTCAACTGAAGAAAAATCTTATCTCAGTTGGAGCTTTGGAGGCGAAGGGATTCAAGGTGACTTTCGAAAACGCTGTAGCGAAGGTTACTAAGGGATCATTGGTGGTGATGAGGGGAGTCCGCAATCGGAATTTGTATTATCTGAAGGGAAGCACCGAGATTGGCCAGGTTGCTTCGGCTATTTCAGAAGCGGACATGAGCAGACTTTGGCACTATAGATTGGGGCACACAGGTAAAAAGTCACTGCAGGCATTGTGCAAGCAGGGGCTATTGAAGGGAGCCAAGAGTGGGAAGATTGAGTTCTGTGAACACTGTGTTCTTGGCAAGAAGACGAAGGTGAAATTCGGGACTGCCATTCATCAGACGAGGGACATCCTGGATTATGTGCACACAGACGTTTGGGGTCCCACCAAGACTGCATCACTTGGTGGTCGACATTGGTTCGTCACTTTTGTATATGACTATTCTAGGCGTTGTTGGGTGTACACCATGACGAAGAAGAGTGAAGTCCTAGATTTGTTTGTGGAGTGGAAGAAGAGATTGGAACTTAACTGGGCTTTGCGTCGCTACGCTGGCTTGAGTCATAGCTCTTTTGGGCCTATTGTTTGTTGGAAATTTGCAGTAAAAGAAATAATGAAAGAAAAATTTGACTTGTACTCCTCTCAAAATCAATTACAATTTGGATTCCGATTACAAAAGAGAGGAGAATGAATTCGATTCTCCCATTTGTTTAATTCTGGGTTCTTCACGGTGGCGATGAGATGCCTCCCTCGAATGCTCGCGTCGAGTTTGCTTCTCGTTGACGATCCGAACGTCTTGATTCACTGGAACGTGGTCTTCTCCTCACGATTTGATGCTGTGGAGAACTTGCGTGGCAAGTTTTGAAAATAACTCTTAACGAGTTGATAACTCTGAACGAGTTTTTAGAAGAACTTGCAGAGCAAGTTTTGAACTCTGATCGAGTTGATAACTCTGAACGAGTTTTAGAAGAACTTGCAGAGCAAGTTTTGAACTCTGATCGAGTTGATAACTCTGACGAGTTTTAGAAGAACTTGCAGAGCAAGTTTTGAACTCTGATCGAGTTGATAACTCTGAACGAGTTTGAACTCTTGAAAAAGAGTTGATTTGAACCGAAAGTTCGGTTAATAAGCCAAGGAAGAAGCTCCTGTTGCTGGTCTTCCAAACTCCTTGTTGCTGCAGAACGCGGCAAGATGCTCGATCAAGGATCCCCAAAAAGTCAGCTCCCCCCCTCCAAAAAAAGAGGATCCGAACTCAGTTGAGTTTTGAGGTATTTATAGGGGGTTAAGGGTATAACCGCCCCCTTAAATATCTCCTTAATGAGGGTTTAATGGGGTCTAACTGCTCCCCATAAATCTCTCCATGATAGGGTAGTGATCCCCTAAAATCTTGGGGAGAAAACGGTTCTGGAACCGTTCAAATCGTGCTTGAACGAGTTAAACGCTGAAAACAGCGTTCTGGGCTCGAACTGTGCGTTTCTGGACCTGAAACGCACAGTTGAGGTTGAAAAACGCACAGCTGGGGCTGAAAACGCACAGCTGGAGCTGAAAAACGCACAGCTGGGCTGAAAACGCACAGTTGAGGCTGAAAACGCACAGCTGAGGCTGAAAACGCACAGCTGAGGCTGAAAACGCACAGCTGAGGCTGAAAACGCACAGCTGGGCCTGTAAACGCACAGTTGGCCTGTTTCAGGCTAAAAACGCACAGTTGAGCCCATAAACGCACAGTTGAGCCGTAAACGCACAGTTGGCCTGTAAACGCACAGTTGGCCTGTTTCAGGCTAAAAACGCACAGTTGAGCCCATAAACGCACAGTTGAGCCGTAAACGCACAGTTGGCCTGTAAACGCACAGTTGGCCTGTAAACGCACAGTTGGCCTGTAAACGCACAGTTGGCCTGTTTCAGGCTAAAAACGCACAGTTGAGCCCATAAACGCACAGTTGGCCTGAAAACGCACAGTTGAGCCCATAAACGCACAGTTGGCCTGTAAACGCACAGTTGGCCTGTTTAAAGGCTGAAAACGCACAGTTGTGCTGTTTTAAAGATTAACTCTGCGTTTCTAGATTGAAAACGCAGAGTTGAGCCTGTTTAAAGGCTGAAAACGCACAGTTGTGCTGTTTTAGCGATTAACTCTGCGTTTTGATGTTGAAAACGCAGAGTTGAGCATGTGCGCTTTGACTCTGTAATGCAGAGGCGAACCTTAGGCG